GTTATCTTCGTGGCTCCTGTAGGCTCTTTTTTTTCTTTTGGTTTTAACATTAAGAATTCAGCAAGTGATAAAGTTAGCAACATAAGGAAATTGTTAGCTCAATAATTATCCCTGTATGTTTGTTATTTCAACCTGTATACATTACAGAAGAGTTTAGCTCTAAAGGATTTCTGTATTGTTGGAAATAGAAAAGTTGCTTTATGTCAATTTCTGTATCTAGGAAAGGCATCCTTTTGTGAAAGTCGGAAAAATAAAAGATGAAAGTGTAGGCAGCAGAGTCAGTGTCAAGGCAGAATGAAGCTTGACACACATGCCACAGTAGAAAACAAAAGAGGTAAGAAACAACAAAGCATTGAAGTGATAGCCATGAAAGGGAGTGAGCTCAAACAAGGAAAACAATATGAGGAGACAAAGAGAATTATGTCTTTGAATAGTTTTGTGTTCTTCAACATGAGCTTTGCAGATAATGACTTGGGGCTTTGAAACAAAAAGTGTTTTAAAATAAAAAAAAATGAGTAAATTAAAATCCCCAAGTCCTGAGAGCACAGAAATAAGTCATCTCTGCTGTCAAATCATTATGTAGGACACTTGATCTGTATAATTAAACAGACTCAGATCCAAGAGTTCCTTTCACACAGGAATAATTAAGACTCGCCACATTTCAATACCTACTAAGTACTTGATAGTGACAATGTATATTTAGCCATTTCTCCAACCGATATTTGTAACAAAATGTCTCAAATTAAAGAAAGACTTTACAATAAAATACTTCGTAATAACTCTATACAATTAGAAAATTGATCAATTGTATATGATGTAGCCCAAAACTGCCATGTTGAGTTAAATGTTTAAATGACATATGATTAATAAATTTGAATAATTAAATGATTTTCAATTAAACATAAGGTATAAATCCAATATTTAAGCTAGCAAATAAGTTCAGTGAAAAAATAAAAATTTAAAACAATATTAGTCAAGTAAATGAAATGTAATTAATTTCCTTTAGAATTCTACTGTTCAAAGCTAATACAGATTTATAATAGTTTTTCAAGAAAAATTCATTTTTAACATGCTTATGGTTTAGCTAATAATGATGTCATTGTGAATTTGTAATGAAACGTCTCTATCTTTGGAAGCAATTACTAGATTGCAGAGTACTTGCAGTGTTCCAGACAATGAGTAGGGCTATCTCTTGCCCTAATAGGTTCTTGAAGCATGTTTGATAAAAGGATCTAATAATGTGGAACAATTTTTTCAAATAAAATTTTATACTTTACATTAACTATCAGCTGCATATGAATGAACCATAAAGGCTGTTGCCCGTACTTTTAAAAATTTCCAATATATAAAACACATACTTGATAAACTACAAAACATAAAAAAGGTAAAGGGCAGTAAATACCTAAGTGGAAATTCCCTGCTTGTTGTGTTATTTTCTGGTGCAAAATCAGGAATTAAAAGATGAGGAAAAAATAAGGAGGACTAGGAGTTACTCTGTAATAGGAAGACAACTCAATTAAGCCACCCACAGAAATGTTAATAATCTACCTCATTTCAACTGAACAAAAGGCATGCATGGGGAACATCATTGCATACAAGTATTCCATCCTTGAATATGCATAGGATTTGGAATCTGCTGTTATTCAGTTTTCAAAAAAGGTATCACTTTTTACCACAAAGAAAAAACTCTAGTTAAACTATTGTCTTTGGGAAGAATTTTCTTTACTATCAATTAGGAAATACACTATATATTTAATTTTAATCTTTTTTTCAGTTTTTATGTAGAGATTTATTAAGTAAAATTTTAATTTAAGACAGCATTTTCCTGAAGTTTCACACATAGCTTTTAAGAATTTCTTCTGAAATAAATTAGAAATATAAAAGTATAAGAGATATGATATTCCTCAGAAGAGATTATTGTGTTTATAAATAAGCTTTACTGTATTGCAAATGCCTCATACCATATCATTATTTCTTTTTATTTTAATCTTTATTTTTTATTGGCTATTTTATTTACATTTCAGATGTTATCCCCTTACCCCATTTCTCCACCACCCCCACCCAGGAATCCCCTATCCCATGCCCCTCCCCCTGATTCTATGAGAATGTGCCCCCACCTGCCCCCCAACTTCCACCTCCCCACCCTCGAATTCCCCCACACTCAGCGTCCAGCCTTCATAGGACCAAGGATCTCTTCTCCCACCTATGCCCTACAAGGCCATCCTCCCTTACATATGCAGCGGGAGCCATGGGTCCCTTCCTATGTTCTCCCAGGCTGATGGTTTAGATTCTGCGAGCTCTGGTTGGTTGGTATTGTTGCTCTCCTCATGGGGCCACAAACTCTTTCAGCTCCTTCAGTCTTCTCTCTAACTTCTCCATTGGGAATCCCTTGACCACTTCAGTGGTTAGCTGTTAGCATGTACCTCTGAATATGTCAAAATCTTGCAGACCTCTAAGGAGACAGCTATATAAGGCCCCTGTCAGCATGCACTTCCTGACATCCACATCAGCATCTACCTTACACTGTCAATAGGACAAAACGGCAACCAACAGATTGGGAAAAGAGCTTTACCAATCCTACATCTGATAGAGGGCTAATATTCAATATATATAAAGAATTCAAGAAATTAGACTCCAGACAACCAAATAACCATATTAAAAATGGGGTGCAGAGCTAAGCGAAGAATTCTCAACTGAAGAAACTCGAGTGGCTGAGAAGCACCTAAAAAAATATTCAACATCCTTAGACATCAGGGAAATACAAATCAAAACAACCCTGAGATTCTACTTCACACCAGTCAGAATGGCTAAGATCAAAAACTCAGTTGAGAGCAGATGATGACAAGGATGTGGAGAAAGAGAAACACTCCCCCATTGTTGGTGGGACTGTAAGATGGTGCAACCACTCTAGAAATCAGTCTGATGGTTCCTCAGAAAACTAGACATAGCATTACCTGAGGACCCAGCTATACTACTCCTGGGCATATACCCAGAAGATTTTCCAACATATAACAAGGACATATGTTCTACTATGTTCATAACAGCCTTATTTATAATAGCCAGAATCTGGAAAGAACCCAGATGTCCTTCAGCAGAGGAATGGGTACAAAAACTGTGGTACGTTTACACAATGGAGCTATTAAAAACAACGAATTTGAGAAATTGTTAGGCAAATGGATGGAACTAGAAAATATCATCCTGAATGACGTAACCCAGTTACAAAAGAACACACATGGCATTCACTCACTGATAATTAGATATTAGCCCAGAAGCTTGAAGTACCCAAGATTCAACTCACAGACCACATGAAGCTTATGCAGAAGGAAGACTAAGTGTGAGTGTTTCTGTCCTTAGAAGGAATAACGAAAAACTTAAGGAAGCAAATATGGAGACAAAGCGTGAGACAGAAACTGAAGGAGGGGCTGTCTGGAAACCATTCCACCTTGGTATTTCTTTGAATAATAACTAAAATGGCAGTGGTCTTCTGCTTTTTCTCCTGTGATCTCACTGCCTCCCTCTAGTCTCCGGCCTCAGCTATATTATTTTGAGAGATGCAATTGGCCATGCTGGAGTGGACATAATCCCACAACCTGATGATCTCCTGAATTCAGAGTGTCACCATTTTGATGCCGGGCATATCTCAAGCAAATATCCTCTTACTTCTGTCTCTAGAGCTTCTGGGACTTCAGGCATGCACTACCATGGCCTTGGACCTTCTGTTTGTGTAATCAACTTCCAAGTTCCACACATAAATCCTCAGATGATGGTTACAGGTGTAATGAATCTATACATTTCAGGGAAAGGTGAATATGATATAGCTCTTTGTATTTTTTAACACATTCCTAAAATGTCTTTCAGTGGCTACGGAGATGGCTCAGTGGGTAACGTGCTTGCTTTGCAAGACGTGGGGCCTGAGCTACTATCCCCAGCATGAACATAAAAGTTGCTCTCAATGGCACACCTCTGTACCTGCATCATGCGGGTAGGTGGAGACAGATAGGTTCCAGGGTTTCACCAACTAGCCAGTCTAGCTAAAACTGGAGCTCTAGTTTCAATGAGAGACTGTCTGAAAAACAAGGTGCCCGAGAGGCAGACTGGGAGGCAGGTAACTACTGGACTGTAAAAATAATAAAAGTAATAATAATAATAACAAATGCTCTATAGAGTAACAGCATTTGACTAACATGCTTATTGAATGACTAAAGAAGCTAATGAAAAATTAATTGGTCCAGAACTTCTAAAGCACTAATGAACAGTATCAGTTATTTAAACATTGAGAGGGGAAAAATAAACATAGTAACTCAAGCCAAGCTCACTCATGACAGAAACTATTAACACAGCAAGATAAAAAGGAGCTTTTATAAGCTCCTCCCAACAGTGCTAACCACCCACCTAAACATACCACTGGGCATCCTTCTCACAAGCAGGGTAAGATGCAACCTTAATACTTATCTGTCAGTACAGTGAGGAAAAAAGTGAGTAAGAAGTAAGATTTACATTTGTATCTGATTTCTATATTTTTTTAAAAATCAAAATAGCCTATAGGCTAAGTAATGGAAATTCTAGAAAATTAATAAGGCTGGAATAACAATTAGGATACAAGTCAACTATGTTTCTAAAAACAATAAGCAAAACATTTAGCATAAGAATTTAAGACATTACATTTGTTACAGCAACAAAAATTAAAAATTAAAAGATTTAGAAATATTTTAGGAGATTTAGAAATTCTTTGTAAATTGTTACAAATGTCACTGAAAAGCATTTTTAATCTTTTAAAATATGTAATAGACAGTATCAGAGCATTTATACTTCTCACTGTTTCACGTGTTGATAAGTTTACACATTATGGGCAAATATTTAGCTGTACAACTATCTGTCTCTTAAACTACTATATATTATTTATACCATATAAATAACAGCATAACTACATCCTTACATTTATAAATAAGAGGAAGCATTTGTGTTTTCGTGGTTAGTTTTCAGGAGCAAGTAGGGCTTACCTTGAAAAACGTCATGGTTGCGCCGTCTTCCACTGCTCCATACTCTATCTTGGTTTGCTTAGCTAAATCGTCAGCAGAGTCAATAGGCGACTCCATGCGTTCCACAGTCAGAAAGGCGGCTAGGTTAGCGGTATACGAAGAAATGATGATAAGTGTGAAAAACCACCAAATGCCTCCCACTATCCTGGTGGAGAGTGCTTTGGGCATGAGCTCAGAACCTAACAGAGAGTGGGGGAAAGGTGAAACGAATACAGACAATTTGATCAGTAGTCAGACATGTTTGGTCACAGTGGAAGAACGGGATCACTGCCTAAAAGAATTTAAGTGAAAGGCTGACACACTGCTTCAGCAAACAAACAACAGTGCTTGGGTGAGCAGAGGCCAATTATACTACTATGACAGTTATGAAGAGAGCATATCAAGTAAGGTGACAGGAGACTAGCCTTACCTGAGATGGTGCCATGTGACAATTAAAATATTAATGTATAAAAAGTCTTAGAAACTTAACATTAGAAAAACAGAGTACAAAACCTCTTTAGTTTATAAACCACATGCAAATTTATTGCTACTTTATTATTTAAGTGGTTTTCAGAAGTAATTATTCAATGTAGATTCAGATCCAATTTCTTAATAAGTTTACAAAAGGTCCTTTTTAAAGTACTTAAATATGTCTGCTTCATTATTTACCTTTGATCTCAGGTAAACGGCAAAGAAGCAATACTTCACCATTTAAAACAATATTTTATGGTAATAAAATATTTAATTTAATCACAATCTTTACAAGGTCTAAGGTATTAGTCCTGTGCTTATTTTAAGATAAAATAAGAAATCATTTACTTCTGTTTAAGTAAATATTTCCCATTCTGAGTGTTAGCCTCCATGAAGGCAATTAAATGAGTAAATGGACACAAATTTATCTTTGCATGTATGGAATGCTAAGTAAATATATCACAGTTAGATGGCTGGAGTTGCCTCCCCATAAGACTAAGAAGAGAATGATATTTGAGAAATATATTTTAGTTTCTATTATTATTAATTTTAGGTTACTTAGTGTGTAAAAATTCTAAAACATAAAATTTTGTCTCTTATTTAAATTTTAATTAATTGTAATTTTATATCTGAATGTGATATCTTGTTTAAAGTATAAAGTATATTCATTTATATATATGCATATACATATATATATATTGCCATCTACTTTTAATAATTTTGAATCTATAATCAGAGAAGCATGATTATGAAGTGGTTAATATCATCCACTTTTAATCATTTTGAATCTATAATCAGAGAAGCATGATTATGAAGTGGTTAATATTTTATAGGGCTTGAGTAAAATGTAACGAAGGAAAGATGGACTCATTTTGCAGATGTGTTTTATTATCTTTAAAGTAATCTCTGTGCAGTGAGAGAATACCTTTTTAGAACTGATGAAAAGAAATACAAATTATTCATGCTAACATTGAAAATATGTGCTATTATGACCATCCTTTATAAAATGTTCCATCTTATACTTCAGTTCATCTTACCCTAGCAATTTTAAAGATACAAAATCTTAAAAGCAGACAGACTTGGGCATGAGAGCCAACTCTAGCTCCAGACTCTTGTCTACCACTCTGTAAAGGAAAAAAAGGAAAACAAAGCAAAGCAAACAAAACAGAACAGAAAGGTACCTTTCTGGTGCTCCTAGGCCCTACCAGATACACACTCAGACACTGAAACGCTAACACACTCAAGACAATCAGCAGCCTTAGCTGCATATTTCACTGTTTATTTAAAAATAAAACACCAATAAAGTCAAAAGAGACTAGGAAATAAAAGCATAGTGGATGGAGACATTGGACAAGGCTGTCCCAATTACCACAAGTTTGTATCTTACCCATAGACTGAAATTCAGCAGACACCTTCTAGGCTTGTCAATCAGAGCCTGGTTAGGGGCTGACTGTCATGTACTCAAGGCAACGTCATGTCCAACACTATATCCCACTAATTCCTGGGGATCGGGGCATCAGCCAGATAGGATGGGTTCCTCTTTCATGTATCCACCAGCCGTGAAGTGAGGACATGGCCAAGCAAATGTATATCTGAATTTACCATTGCTTTAATTACTTAGCTCTATAGATGGTACAGATAGACATGTAAGTGCTATCACTAATAATCAAGTTCACCTTGCAAATGGGGACCAACACTCAAAGATTTCCAAAAATTTAAGGAAACATAAATTTCAAAAAACATTATTTTATTGCTCAAGTTGGCAGCAAAATTTAAAACTGAACCTTACTATTATGGTCTGACCTTGATTTTGAAGATTAGTTACTGCAGACCCCTGAAGCTAATGGTTAGCCGATTGCCTGAGTAAACTATACTACTCCACTCCACATTTAACAAAGTGTATCCCATCCCATCAGACCTGAGAGATCTCTAGTGTTGTCAGCCCAATGAGGAAGGAAACCCTTACTTTAGACCCAAAATGGAGGAAAAGCAAAATGCAACTATTGACTCT